CCCCAAAAGTGAAGCAATAAAATGCTACAGGGAGCGAAAAGCGAAAACTGCAGAACTCTTTCCATCAGGTAATGAGAAACCATTACTACCAACACCACAAAATTATCACATAATAAATGCAATCAATAACTGAGTTTCTCCTGTTATAATCTCCTCACATTTGATCATTTTTAGCTTCAGAACAAACATCATTGATTGAGGCAGAAAAACGAAAGTCGACGGCAGATCTACCACCACCAAAAAGGAAAGCAAGACAATGCTCAAAATGCAAAGCACCTATGAAAGGCCATCCCCGGTCACATTGGCCTTGATGTCATTATGTTGTAAAAATGTCAAGCTCAATAGTCTGAATGCGTATTCCAGAAATTATCCACACCCCTTCTGCAAGGGAAATTAAATTTCTGCTGTCCAGGGGGCTAAGGTGGGAAATCTGATAAATTCTAAAATGCATCAAGGCATCCAAAGGGGGTAGTGTAACTCAAAATTTTCTGTGTGGAAGTGATGAGGTGTGGATGTTTCTAGAATAACCCAATAGAATATGAACAGAATTATGCCATGCTCCCCATAGCTGTGAATTTGAATGGAATATAAAGCATGATTTACTGTACAAAACCACCAGGTTTAACAGCTTCACAGTTGCCACTGTGTTTTTTTGGCTGTTGATTTGTGTAAAACTACCTGTTTTTCCGACCCACCCTTATAACTTCCAGGCGAAGAGCCTTTGCTTGAAATGTTGAATGTCTTATTGTATTTCCCATCATCCGAATCAACCTGGTTTACTTTAATTAGCTGGGGTTAGTTTATAATCTGTAAACATGCATAACCTGGGTTTACCGGTATAGTTGGCACACTACTCTGGAAACGGTCAAATGTCGAACTATGGCCACGGTCAAATGTCGAACTATGTACCAAACCTAATGCAAATGAAGTGAAACAAAGAACTTAGCTCATTAACATTAGGTTCGGCACATGAAAAGTTCGACGCTTGACCCTGGCCTAATAACCCAGGTTCAACCCTAGATAGGTATACCTGGCTAAAATTTAAAACTGTATGAAGCAGCTAAGTTATGGTAGTGTGCAGCAAAACTGTTTAATTATGGGTAACTTGTCTCTTGATCATATATTTTACTCAGGAAAGAGGCGAACATATATAGAATTTATTTATATTTGAAAAAAATATGTATGGTCTGGCACATAAAGTAAATTATTAATATTCTATTTATTGAAGCTATAAAAAAATGTCATAGTCACTTCAGCTGTCTTTCTCTGCTCGTTCCTCTCCAGATATATAACCCTTAGCATCACCTGTAGGGAATATAGTCCTAATATGATGGTAGATGCATGCTGACAAGGGTCTTGTGTTGTCCCAACCCATCATTCCAAATAGCCATCTTGCCAGCCAGCGATATGATACAGCTCTCAGGAATCTATAACAAATACACAGTAATCTTTAGAAAAAAGCAGAAACGATACTTGCTTTACTATTGGTACTGGACAAAAATGTTTTGAACTACTGTAAGTAGATTTACATACTTTTTATCTGCGCCATTTTTTATTCGGTAGCAGCTGCCATTCTTGTTCCTTAAAAGAGGTCCAACTTCGCGTAGAACCGTCTCGTTTGTCATGGCGTTAAAGTCTGGATGAGCAAGGATACACTCAACATCCTTGCCAATCCAAGTAAATTTTCCACTTGCTTCTACGATCTCTTTACAGCAACGAAACTCACGAGCACCGACCAGCTCTTGATCAGCACAGTTGCCACACGAGCACCTACAAGTATTAAATAATACGACAAAGGTCAGGTAAAATCAGCACTAAAATCATAATAGGGTGGATTTGTAATAATTTTAGAACTTACCAATCAGCTAAAGGAATAACCTTTTCGAAACGCTTCTCCAAAATCGAGGGTAGAATGGAATCTTCGTCATGTTCTTCATCAGAAGATTCACTATCGTCTGTGCTCGCCAATGGTTCTCCTTGGTAGGGTTCAAAACAGCTCTTTACGTTTAAATTTTCTTCTAAATCGCTCTCAGTTAAGCTATTAGACTCTAAACTAGAGTAACATAATGAATCGTCGCTCTGCGACATAACAAAAAGTAGAAATCCCGATAAAAAAGTTAAAATCCGACAATACAACCAGCCTCTTTCACTGTTTGTAAGAAAATATAAAGCTTGTGTGTACAACCAGTGACGTCACGCGCTGTGTTTACTCGGGTCCAGACCCCGGGACAATAAAATAGTTAAATTACTGACTTTCGTGACTTTAAAAATCGACTTTAAAAAATCGCGGGGCAAAAATAAACTAGTGGATGATATTCAGCATAGTTTAAACTATAAAATGAGCACAATTGTGAAAAATTTTTTCAGCCATTTCATAAACACTTTAAAGTATCTATAATAAAACAAAACGAATTGTAATGTGATATGCTATATATTATTATAGTTGCTAATTACTATTCTATAATTAACCTACTAGTTTTTAAAATTTTGCATCAGCATTCGCATCAGTTGCATCGGTCTGGATCTGCCCTGCAACAAACATTAAGTAAACACAGTAGGATACATATTATCGACTACCTGCTGCTTTTGTTGCCCTTGTGACATTGTGTTCAGATTCAGCATATACCACAAGTAGAGCAAAAAGCAACATTCACACATGTGCATATTTGGTTTTAAAAACTGTGTTAACATGCATGAATTCTCCGACTTTATATAACCATTTTATTCATCTCTGAACTAGAAATAGGGGCAGAATACTTCAGGCAATGGATTCCTTCTCAATGTCAGTTTGTTGTTTGCTGACAATATTCCTTGCTTGCTGATGCATTTACATAATTTGATATTTTGCATGTGTGACCATATTTTATGCTCAATCATAATTTCCCACTAAAAATCCTTATGTTGGCACTTTGTGAAAATCTTGAATCTTGGATCTTGAATTTTAGTAGGAGTTTGTTGTTTGCTTTTAAGATGCACAGTTTCTCTTGCATGCACAAGCCACACTGCTTTCCACCTCTTGAATATAGTTAAGATGAAAGGTCATCAATTTTGTTTTAGCTTCCAAATATATTTAGAAAGTTCCGTCTCATTTGTAAATGTTGTTTGTGGATTCTATAGTGTTCTTTAAATGAATTTACCATCATCCTGACACAATGCTTAATTTCTCCATTCTCTCCTGTTACAGCTAGATAAACATGGCTGCTTTCCAGGCAAGCTTTCTGAGTGGTCATTCATTTGCGATTCTGCAGTTGAGAAGAAACAACTTGATTATGGAGCAAATGCAGCAACAGAACAGATATTTAGACCTAGTAGCTAGTGTGAAGGGCTGGGGGAAAACATCCTGCATAGCCATAGGGCTGCAAGAAGTTGATCACTATACCTCCCAATTTATTCAGAAACACCATAGAAAATGGTTATAAGGCATGTAGTCGGCCGGCCAAGGTGGCAAAAAGTGCCTCTAAAGAGAGTTTGATGGCAACTTTATGTTAGAAGCTGGTAACAGGCATTTTCTTATAATTTTCTAGTTGCGCTTTAAATCAAATACTAAAATTTATATTATACCAATACATAGTCATATATAAAACTTTTTTTAAAACTTTTCATTCTAAGTTTAAAGTATCAATTTTTTTCAATGCAAGCCAAACAAATCTAAGAACACATGTATAAAACAATTAATTGAACTAAAACAGCAGACCCCCTCCCTGTCTTCATAAACTATCTAATATTTTATGAACCCCCCTTTTTCCTGGCTAAAAAATATGTGACCCCCCCACTGTTTCCACCTCCCCACCCCTCCTGCTAAATTATGACCAGTCCCTTAGCTGTTTGATTAATATGTGGAGTTAGACTCGTGTTACTATCAATGATTGTTCCTAAATTCTTGGCACTTGAAACAGGAAAAATGTCAACTTCTTGAGTTGTTGTCTACATCCTATAATTTAGAATTCCGTTTTGCCATCATTCAACTTCATTTTATCCTCAATCATCCAGGCTCGGATAGCCTTTATACATGTCTCCATTGCAGATACACATCCAGTCTCACATTCTTTACTGTCTGGCTTGAACGACATATAAAGTTGACTGTCATCTGCGTACGCATGCGCAGATGGCAAGTGCTCTTTAATAACCTGAAACAACTTGCTAGCATACATGTTAAGTGTTTTTACAATATTAGGTGTTTTTACAAGGCTGTAAGTTTGCCAGTGGCGATAATAAGCCTTTTAAGTAAGGGACGGACCATTGGAAAAGTGATGGGGAGGGTGGGGAAAAAACAGAACAAAAAAGGTTTGAAAAAAAATTCATGCAAACAGACTTGTTTAAAAAAAAATTACAAACAGAACAACAATAGAACTTTAATTTTAAATGTACATCAGACAAAATTGAACTAAATCTTTGGAATATTTCAGAATATAAATATATCAAAATATATAATATATTAATATGCAATTTCTTTCAATATTAACAGTAACTCTTATGTAGTTTTATTATATACTATCAAAATATTTTCTATTGTCTTTAATAATTCTCATTCACACTGCCACTGTCCTCAGTGGCGTAACTACTATGGGCTCGGACCGGGAGAATCCGGGGGCCCCCAACCCCAATAGGCCCGCAAATGGGGGCCCCAGGCTATAGAGCAAAAACGTTGGCCAAGGGCCTCTGATATGTTACAATGGCGTTTTCTGACCATCACAATTCTGTAAAATCTCTCCCCAAAGTCCGGGAAATGGTATTTCAGAGCATTTAGATTCAAACATTTTCCGGGTGAGCATGCTCTGGACCCCTAGAAAACTTGTCCATATATGGCGCTTGACTTGTGCCTTTGGTATTCTACTAGGGGGCCTTCGAAAGTTCTGAACCGGGGGCCCCTTGATATAACGTTAGGGTATACGCCACTGACTGTCTTCTTGATCTACAACCACCAAACTACCACTTTCTCCTTGATTTATAATCGTAGTGTCACTATCTTCTTGATCTACAACCAAACGACAACTTTTCCCTCAATCTACAATTAAACTGACACTATCTTCTTGATCTACAATCAAACTGACACTATCTTCTTGATCTACAACCGAACTACCACTTTCCCCTTCATCTACAATCAAACTGACACTATCTTCTTGATCAACAACCAAACTACCACTTTTCCCTTCATCTACAATCAAACTGACACTATCTTCATCTACAATCAAACTACCATTATCCCCTTCATCTATCAAACTGACACTGCATGTCTTCCTGATCTACAATCTCAATGGCAATATCTTCTTCTACATTTTCTTTTCCTCTACTTAATCTTGCTCTTTTCTTTTCTCATGTTTTGTTTCTTCTTCCTTTTGCTCATTTGTTCTGCCATACTGCCTCCTTAGATTGTTTCACTAAAGCCTCATCATTGCAAGCAATTTCCGTGATATATGCTACTGCTTCTTTCACTTTCGCATTGTGTCTATGTCAATAACGATCTCTTATATTAAAATGCTACTTATAAGTAATGATATCTGCTTTAGCCTAAAATATCCTTAAAGATATTATTTTGCAGTGTGTATTAAAGGGATATTCTTTTGTCAAGAGAACAGTTTCGTTAACATTTGTATAGTTGTATTGGAAAAAAAATTGCATGCGAGAAGACATATTTAAAAAAAAACATGCATACACAGCTAACAACCTGGAAAAAAATGCAAACAAAAAAAATTTACCCCACCCCCCCATCACTTTTCTAATGGTCCGTCCCTAATAGGTTCTATTACCAAGTTCCATTCTATTACCAAGTTGAGTTGAGCTGAGTGATAGAATTCTATTACTGAGGTGAATTGGGTATTCTACTATTCTTTAATATTAAGTGTTTTTACAAGACTGTAAGTTCACCAATGGCAATATTAGATAGCTTAAGATCTACGATGTCGACGTTAGCTAGGATGTCAGGGCTAAGCAAAGGACTGGGACTAGAACGTCGTCCTAAATAAATAAACTTCCACTAAGATTCACGACGTCGACATTTAAACTATAAATATTTAAAGTTTGTAAAATATATTTACATTCTTTTGAAAATGAATTTTAAAGAGACACATGAATTCATAACCGTTTGCTATGCTCTTGTATCCACAACGGTAAAACTGTGTTGTGAGGTTGTCGATGTTTGGTGGACGACGAGCAAATTGAGAGAGACCATGCACACTTCAAAAACTATTGCCAATTTACTTCCGACTGCCGCCCTAAAAATTTGGCGTTGTTGATATTGAGCTATCTACTTATTCACGACGACATCCTAGTCCCAGTCCTCTACTTAGCCCTGACGTCGTAGATCTTAAGCTATCTATTATGCCTTTTAACTCATTAAGTGGCAATGTGCCCTGAGATTGGCAAAGGGGTAAGGGACAATGCACCCTGAAATGACACCTTAACTTGCGGGCATGAACATAGAACATGAAATTTGAGCTTTTCAATGGTGTATCATGAAAGAAAATTGGTCAGAAAGTCGCAAATAATGAACTATGGCAATACTGTTGCAAAGAAGGATTTTACAAGTTTTAAAAGCAAAAAAATAGGTTTTTGAATGATTACAACGAAAATTTGGCACGAAATTAAAGCAAATGTATTGACGTTTTGGGTCATGTTGTTCTGTGAACCATGTGCAGGATTTTCAGGCAAAAAGATGAGGATTTCTCCAAACTTTATCAAAAATAGAAGTCGGAAATCACAAGAAATATGAACACGGAATACAAGTGAGCAGATATTTTTAAGGGTAATGTTGAGTAGAAATATGCAATCAAACACTCAACCGCTTTAAAGTTGGTTGAATCTAGTTCAAAGTTATGGTTTTAGACAAACTGTTTGTGCAAATGTGGGCACAATTTTTTACTGTTTTCGTGACCCCATAGTTGGTTTTCTTGTTCAAGTTGTTATTTTAGCTAAAGTATGTTTCAAACGACACCAGGATAAACTTACTGTGTGTGTATGTGCCCTTTTTGGCACAAATACTTAGAATAAAATCACATTTAGATAAGTAGGATATTCCAAAATCACTGTTATATCTATTTTCATAAATTTTGTCAAATTACAACAATTTTTAAAATAACTCTTTTCGGACATATTGTGGTTTAAAACAAAAACATAATTTAGCCGTTGTTTTGGGCCCATTGCTCACTTATTTATCATGAAATCGCTTCACTAGAACATTTTTAATAATGTCTATGGGAAACTTTGTAATTTTCTGAATACTTGCTTGTTAAAGGACTGGTAACCATGTGTTGCTTTCGGAGATCCCACATTTCTTTGATTTTTCTATAAATCTCTTGGTGCTGCTGCTGAAGGGCTTTCTTCTCTGGTGCTTTTCCTTTCAGAAATGTTATAAATGCTTCCTTAGTGTTTGATAATCTGAACTATCAGAACCTTTAAAAAGGTTTATTTTGGCATCACCACAAGGTGCTCCAGTTACTCTTTCAATATACACGTCAATGGCTGAATCTAGATTGTCTTTCAGTTTACTTTCATCAACTTTGCCATCATCACATACTAGTACTTGTCCATTCAAATTTGATGGGATGTATACGTTTGCGTGGGCTAATGCCAGACAACCGTTTTGGAGTTCAACATGGTTTTTGTTACTTGATCCACTTTCTCGGGTGCTTAACAAAAGCGCTTTTGTTTTCTTTTGAAGATGCCTCTGAGTCCAAGACTTGGACCCTCGTCATTTCCCCTGTCTACTCTTATGCATTCAATTGTCTTTGAAAGCATGGTCTCTAAATTAGTAAAAATATCGGTAAATTCAGGCTGTTTTTCAATGTCTTCGAGATCTTTTGCATGCCGGGCTGGATTCTTGTAATGGATCGGCACAGCTTTAACAACACCAGTGCACATTTCTCCAGTGTTTGCAGTCTACGTGAAATTATATGATGTTGTCTGCAAAGTAGAATTGTACTTGTTCACAATCCGTTTTTGTTGTAAGAACTGGTGACGTGCAGAGGAATGCATGTTTGCTGTGGGTTGCTGATGTGTCCAGTCTAAATCCAGCCTGATCGTCTCTGTTGAGATTCATGATATTTTTGCCATCTGTATATTCCAACTTATTAAGACCCTTGTACAAGGCGGCTGACCAATGGGTATCAGGATTATAGCGAATAGTGAAACCCTTTCTTGCATGTCTGGAAGTTACTTTCGCCAAGCCTTTGTAGTTGGATGCAGAAATGCATCCTTTATTATGGGGTACACAAAGTTGACCACTGTACATTGGCCAAATGTGCGACCATATTTTGTTTCTAGATGCTCCTTAATGCGAGAAAAAGTCACCTTATTCAGTTTCCTATTTCCGTCAAATGTGAGAACACCTGTTCTTCGCTAGGCATCTGCACCGACATTGTTGTCCTTCACAAATTCTTCAATAGTCTTCCCTATATCTGGGCAGTCCCGCAGAATCTTTGAAACATACTTCCCTTTGCACCTCTGTACTAACCTCATCTGAACAACCTTTTCGGAAGCATGGCGTTTCATTCAGCGATGCATTAGCTTCACTTCTCTTTGTATAGCTTTGTTCCCTATGAGGTCATTCTGATGCTCTGCACTAGAATTCTCTCGCTCTGAAGAGAGAGTTTCTTTAGTCTGTGGGAAAGTTTTTCTTCTCAGTACCCGAGGTTTTTTCTTCCTCATCTGAGTCTGAACTAACATAATTACTTGCATCTATCCGTTCTGTTTGTCTACTGTTCTCAATACAACTCACATCATTCTCTGTGAAGCCAAGAGACGATAGTTGAAAGGTCAAATCTGACAGAATATTATCAATATCATAGTTCAGGCCACTCATTTCCTACTTTTTCTATGAATTAAAACCAATTCAAATTGCATTTGTGCAACAGATCAAGAAGCTGACCAGAATTGACGATTGGTTTACTGATTGGTTGGTTTAATGGTAACTCTTCTTCATTTGTTGCGTTCAACTGATTATCGCAATCATTTTCACTATCCGATTCACTTTCACTGCTGTCGCTATTTAAGTCTATACCAAATGATTTACGTATTGCATTATCCTTTACATTTGCCAAGTATTCATAGGTTTCGTAAACCTGTTCCGCTTTTCTCATGGCATCTTCGACTTTCCTCTGTATGTGCATTAGCAGATTCCAATCCATACTGCTCAGAAAGTTTTGTTGCTGAAAGGCCAGACTATTTGCAAAATTTGTACCGTATCCTCTCCCGTTCTTGATTATTCTGGGCAGCCTTGAGAACTCTCTTAAGAATATCTTTAGCCATGGGATGATCATTTGGTTGTTTATGAAATGATTCCAGTGCATGTCCTATAAGAGTAATGTTAATAGATTTATCTGCCAAATAAACATGCTGGTTTCCTGTTTCACCAACTGTTACAGTTGCTAGTGGCATTTGAAGCAGCATTCTTTTTGCTTTTGACTACTTGTACGTGGGCTACATGTGTGAAATGCATCGGTTAACTTCATGTGACCATCTCTGATAATGGTCTCAGCAACTTTGATTACCTGTGGGCATCTGCAGCTGCCAGAATGCTCTTGGAGACAAACACCATGTTTTGCATCAATATATTGTTGAAGGGTTAGTCCCTTAAAATTGGACATGCATGTTCCGTCTGCTAATGTCCTGTAATTGGAACCACAGTTGTGCTGTTTTACAATGTTGATGTTTTGATGCAGCCCCCTCAGGTTGTCCTGAAGGGGAGAATCGGAAAAAGCTGATCATCCCCAACATTTTGCTTTGATCCTAGGTCCGGCTTTTCCACGTTTTCGTTACTGCATGGATTTGTAACTTTGCAATCATGACCAGCGTTCACCTCTTTTGCTTCGGCAGCATCACATGAAGTAACAATCTCTGTTTCATCTGTTACCACTTCACACAGGGGGACTACTATATCAACAACTGCACTTCTTGCTGATTCTGATTCAGGAGAGGAAATTATCACTGTTGGTTCTGTTGGATTGCTTTTTTTCACTCCATCGCTTGACTTTTTAAGAAAACTTTGCAAGGTAGTTTGAGGTTTGGGTTTCTCTTTCTCCTTCTTTTCAGCCTTCTTTCCGCTGTACCATTTGGCCTGTTTTTGCTTTCTTTCTAGCTGATGCAACTCGAACTTAACTCTGTGAATTTTTTGCTTCAACTCGTGAGATTCGTGGTGCAATTTTTCACAAAGAGACCAATTTGACACCGATTTTGCTTTTGCAATTCTGTCTAAGTCGCTTGTAAGCCATTGATTCATCCATATCTGTTATATCTTCTTTGTTTGGTATAGTGCTCTCTGTTGGCTGGTGGTATACTTTCCAGATTTTTTTGTTACGGACTCAGAAGCTTCATTATCATTCTGAACAGTACTACAATCCTGGTCAAAAATCCTTGGCGCACTTAGTCGAAATAGTATAACCTTTACTTCATTTCTGACTACCATATACATACTTGCCCATTTTATGCAATATTTCATGTCCAAACACCCCCTATCCCCCTTATCAATGTTGTGTAACACCTTGGACGTATAACACACTACACACAACATTGAATGGGGGAAGGGGGGTTGCTATGCTTGTTATTGATGTGGGAGTCAAATTTCGCACAGTCAGTGTCAAGTGCGCCAATATTTTTGACCAGGATTGTCCGAATATAAAAATGAAACTAAAATTGATGTACATATATAATTTTGACTCTGAGGTGTTTTCTACGTATATTGGGTGGTGTGTTCTAGATGATTTTGTTGGGAGTTATTGAAAACCTAGTGTGCGCATCGTAATGTGTAATTATGACATCATATGTAGCTTGTTGGAAGCGGGTGGTGTTACTATGAATCATGATAATCCCGTGTATATAAAATGAGGCTGGCTACAAAATAAAATTGAATAATATGCATTTCGATAATTAGATTAATTTAAGGATGATTTACACAAGAGAAAACACAGCAAAGACAAGGGCTTTGGTACTTTATTATAGAAAGGAATAGGGTTTTTTGAATAGGAAGATCGCGAGAAAATGTCATATAAGCCCTTTATCAGTAGCAAGAATATAGAGGGAAGACCAACAACCAGCTGCACTGAGATCTAAACTGTTAAAAGGCAACAACTTAAGGGTCGTCCAAGAAAAGTTGACGAGCGATCGTAATTGTCGGTATAGCTTATGTGAAAGGTGTGGTTCTCAAAGTTCCCTATGAGAAAATGAATGGCAATTTCTTTGCAGAGTTCATTGGAAAGCATTTTAATACTTGTTTTGCAAAGTGCGGACCTAAAAAAACGGTCGTCGCCTGTTTCCCATGGATAATGACCCATCACAAACGAGTAAAGTAGCCCGAAAAGCAATGGAAAAAACCGAGGCTGAATTTCACAGGATTCCGGCTAGATCGCCTGACCTGAATCCGATTGAAAATCTCTTTCACTTGGTAAAGAAAAGTCTCGAGAATGAAGCAATTGAAAATAATATAACGTACGAAACGTTCCAAGACTTTTCAACACAGGTTTTAAATCCTTGGAAAATCTGTCAACTGATGTAATCTATCATACTATTTCAAGCCTGTCAAGTCGAGTAGATGCTGTTCTTAAAGCAAGAGGAAATCGCATAAAATACTAGGAGTTCTATCTTTTACTGTTATATATAGTAATTCAAGGCAGAGTAAGGGCAGTATAGATCAAAATAGGTGTAGCCATTTTTTCAAATAGGCAATTAGCTTGCTGTCAACAAGTAGATTAAATGCTAAGTACAATTACACATCTTCACAGCGTGAGTCCAATGGTGCAGCAACACAAAATTACAAACAGTGTTCCCTTGATATTTCCTAATCATTTGCCAAGGATGCAAAAATTTTTGTTTTC